AGCTGTTGAGGGCTGGACCGTTAACCATTATCTGAAGTCTGGTGCTCTGAGCATGTTAGTTGGAGTTATGACATCATCGTGTTCCATGACTCAAGTGTTTATATTTGAGCTAACGTGTCCAGAGATCAAAGGTTTCCATGGTGATGTGCAGTAATCAGTGAGAGGAGAGCATTTCCATTGTTCTGAATGAGAGATAAACCTCTTAGATGTGAACGTTTTGTTAAAGAACCGTAACAGATATCGGTGAAATTTCAAAGCGTGAAGCATGTCAAGGAACTTGAGCATCTGAAGTGTACACTTTGTGTACTTTCGGGTTAATAATGTGGCCTTTTTGGCAGATTAACTAAAGGTGTGCGGCTGCTGTGGGGGGGAAAGATGAGGGTGAATTTACAATGGGGTTTAATGGAGACATTTTTTTTTGTCACTTCATGCCCTCAAGAGGCATTTTGTTTAATTATTTTTAGTTAACTTTTTTTTTTTCAAGCTACGAGATGTTTTCCTACGTTTCTCATGAAAAATGATGTCTCAGGAATGTAGGGTTTGGGAATTATGGCAGGTTTAAAATAAAATATGAAAAATCAAAATTAAATCTGTCCTCCACTATAGCTGTGACATCACGCACTCTAAATCTGAAGAAGTCCTCTTTACCAAGTTCTGAACAATGTTTAATATCTCTAAAAGTAAGAATCAGATTTAAAAAGTTGTGTTACACGAATAATGTCAGAAAGATGTGTAACATTTTAAAGTTGGAATGAGGTTTCTGAGTGAAAGTATGAAGGAGCAGTTAGCAGTTGAAGTTACATGAAGATTGTTCAAGTCTGAAGAGTTTCTCCATTGACTTCCATGTTAAAAAGTTGATGAATTATGGTATATATCTGGAATTATGAAAGTTATGAATAAGAAAAGTAATAGCCATCGATTCCCGACCGAGCTGAACGTTTTGATGTTTGAACGGAGTTTCTGCGATGTGGGATGTGGGAGAAGAAGAGTTGCAAAATAACCCGGCGGAATAATAAAGAATTTGTGCGTAGCATAACAGATAGTCGGAATGCTGTATCAGCATTCCCACTAAAATACTTTTCCCACTGCATGTTAAGTGCTGAAGTATTTCCCTGGAAGGCAGATTAAGGCTGTAAGCAAATACAAACAGGTTAGTCAACTAAGATGTGGGGATTCAGTCAAGCACACCCACCTGTTCGACGGCCTTTCACATTTTACTACTTCCAAAATCTTCTCCAGTATGATCACAATTCTAACAATCTGCAATATTTACTGCCTCAGTACAAATACAAAGCTACACTCTTAAAGTGTCTTTTAGGACAACTTCTATCTTGCCTAAGATAGTCTTTGCAGTCAAACATATAAGCATATAAAACAAACGGCAAAACATACGTTTTAGCCAAAAACTAGATATTATGTTGTGGGGCCATAATCGGCTATCAAAAAAACAAGGTTTTCATCAAGGTTTTTGAGAAAGCTATCATCTCCCTGTCGTCATGCAAGAACTTATCAACTGAAGGCATCAGCACAAAGTCATTTCCCAAAAATGTAACGTCTGCAATGTGCTTACTCAGCGTCTGGTAACTTTCCATAACTCTTTCGCAATTGAATGTAATTTTGATGCAAACCAAACACACAAATCCCCATCAGGAAGACGCCTTATAATATGTACCCCAAAAATAGGGAAATATTATTCCCATTTACTTTTTAAATTGTCTGGACTCGTTTATTAGCCCTTAAGATTGTACTAAGCCTTTATGGTGCATTTACAAGTTGGAGATTTCATTTGAACTTCTGTATGTTTTCTATACACTCTAAATAATATAAATATTACATGTGTTATTCTCTTTCATACAGATGCATCTTGGGACAGGCTCAGCTACTACCCATATCACTATGAAAGCCTCCCCACGCTCACACCTCTTCATATCACTGCCTCAGTACTTTTCCGCTCTGACCAACTAATCTGACAACTGTGTGTTTGTCGCCTCCCACTTCTCCTTCTCAACCCCCTGCAATTTGGCAATGTGGAAAGTGTTTACGGACACCATCATCTGCTATTAGCGGGTAGCACTGAACTGAGTGTTAACGGTAACTTTCACCAAAAGCCTAGTGTGTATGTGTGTGTGCACATGCACTTTCACACATGCTATAAGACTTCTGGGTAATATCAAGCACCAGTGAAATGTGACCTTGCAGGCTACACAAACAAGTATTTTGTGTTTCACCAAGAGAGGAAGTAAGTGAGAGGACTAAGGAGAGATCATGGCAGAAAACTGCTTCCCCCCCTTATTCCTGTTCGATTCATTTCCGCTACATTGGTGCTTTACTTTGTTTGCATATGAAATAATCCAGCGTGTGTCCCTTTGTCACGGCAGTCCCCTTTGGCCCTGTCACACCGAACAGCTGATAACCCGAGGGGGGACTGTCTGCAGTGGAAAACTAATTCCAGCGAAGCACCTGGTTCCAAAGTAAGTTGAGTTGAATAGAGCCGTACCAAAGTGGAAACATGGCCTTAATGGCACATACAGTTCAGAGATTAGTTTGTCTAGAGCACCTTAATTTACGTTTCTTGAATTGTTCCATTTAAAATAAACAAAATATTAAATATATTAAAGTTGACTGGGGAAAATTATAATATGTGTATTATGTGAAGACAGACCTCATAAAGAATGACAGAGATGATTGGATCAACTAAAGGGCTGACAGAAGGAAACACGTGGTGACAGTGAGGAAGTAAGCGAAGAAGAGATATTGTTCTACTGGTGAGGACTGCCAGGAAATACTGGGTGAAAAATACAAATTTGAGAACTGGTATATAACAATGAAAAAAAGCTTTGCATCCTCAAGGACATACCAAATAAATGCCCAGTCACTGCTTTCTAGTCACTCTGGAATATGCTTTACTTTAAGTCTCAGTAAAAACAGACTTTTCACTAGTTTTCAACACACATTTATTTTCAAACAAAATGTAATCATTATATAAATTACTCTTGATTATACCAAGTCAGTCTGATGCATATATATATATATATATATATGTATTATATATAGTTTTGCCAGCTTGTCTCAGTCCATGCTACTCTTTACTGCCGTGGAAGACTACAGTTTTAAAACCATTGATGGAATGAATGCAGAAAACAGATACAACAGAAGATAACCTCAAGAGTCTATGTGGCACAACAGCAGTGCCCTAAGGGCTATTTCTAGGACAGGCATGCACCTTCACTGAGTGTGTCCTAACTTGACCAAGCTGAACAACAAGCACACACACAAAGGACACTTCTGTCCTGCAAAAACATTAACACAAAGTCAAAGAAAGACCTAAGCGCAGGAGGCACAGGTGAACAATTCATGGCTGGATACATACCTAGTGTTAACAGTGAGAGTCAGTTCTGTGTGATGATGTGAAGAGGGAACAGATGCTATTCTCACTGGACAGAGAGCAGACCAGGTGATAAAGTCAGTCCAGCAGGAGAACGAGTCATGCAACACTCATCCACAGTGTTGGGGAGTGAAACAGTTTGCCAAGAGATGAAGGGCAACACAAAAATGGAATAGGTTATCTATTTCAAAGCTGTTTTTAAAAAAAAAAGGCAGCAAAGAGGGAGAGGATTCAGAGGAGGCAGTGGAACATTCTAGAAAAAGCACACAGCCTTCCCCTGCTTTTAAACCTCACAGGGTGGGAGGGGCCAAGCACGGATGACAGGAAGGGGGAAGGTGCCACTCCTTACAACCGATTGGTTGATGCATCAGTGCTCCTGTCTGCAGCCAATTAGCTGTGTTCAGAATGCCGGGGAGGCCCCCCCTCCTCCACATGATGATGACTTTAACTGCAGGGCTGCTCTGGCACCTCCAGCAGCCCATTAACAACCCCCCCTCCCCTCCTTTCTTTGTTTGACTTTACCTTACTCAAGCATCTTTTATTTTTTACTCAGATCTTCAAATCTCCTTTTCTATTTCCCCATTCTTAAGTCTATCAGAAATGGATAAGTTCATCTGGTTTTCTCTCACTTACCTGCTGGGTTTCACAGTGAATGCACAGCCAACAGGTTCCTCACACACC